ATTTGCTATGATGTGATGGGACCAGATGCCATGATCTTAGTTTTTTATTGTTGAGTTGTAAGCCGGCTTTTTAACTCTCCTAGGTTCTTTAGTTACTCTTCATTTTCTGCCATAAGGGTGGTGTCACCTGCATATCTGAGGTTGATATTTCTCCTAGCAGTCCTGATTCCAGCTTGTGCTTCGTCCATCCTGGCATTTTGCATGATGTACTCTGTATAGGGTTAAATTAGCAGGGTGACAATATACAGCCTTGACATATTCATCTTTTAGGATTTGAAATAGCTCAACTGGAATTCCATCACCTTCACTAGCTTTGTTCATAGTGATGCTTCCTAAGGCCCACTTGACTTTGCACTCCAGGTTGTCTGGTTCTAGGTGAGTGATCACACCATCATGGTTATCTGGGTCATTAAGATCCTTTCTGTATAGTTCTTCTGTGTATTCTTGCCACCTCTTCTTAATAACTTCTGCTTCTGTGAGATCCATACCGTTTCTGTCCTTTATTGTGCCCGTCTTTGCATGAAATGTTCCCTTGGTATCTCTAATTTTCTCGGAGATCTCTAGTCTTTCCCATTCTTTTATTTTCCTCTCTTTCTTTGCAGTGTTCACTTAGGAAGGCTTTCTTATTTCTCCTTGCTATTCTTTGGAACACTGCATTAAGATGGGTATATAAGTTACATCAGACAGAACGTGTCTAACTTATCTCACTTAACAAAATGTGCTCAAGGTTTATCCATGTTGTCTCAAATGGCAGGATTTTATTCCTTGTTAATAGTTGAATAGCATTTCATCGTGATTATATATAACATGTTTTCTTTGTCCATTCATTGGTTGGTGGACTCTTGTCTTGCTATTGTAAATAATGCTGCAATGAACATGTGGGTTAGGTATCTTTTCAAGGTAGTATTTTCATTGTATTCAGATAGATTTCTTTGTCTTGACTAATTATTCTAGCTAGGGCTTCCAGTACTATATTGAATAAGAATAATGAGAGTAGACATCCTTCTCTTATTCCTGATCTTAGAAGAAAAGCTTTCTTTCTCCAGTGAAAGTATCTTAACTGTTTGTTATTCATGATATTCATAATGTTTAGGTATGTTCCTTCTGCATCCAGTCTGCTAAGGTTTTTTATCACAAAAGGATGTTGTCTTTTGTCAAACAGCTTTTCTGCATCTATGAGATGATCATGTGATTTTTATCTTTTATTAATGTGTATTAAATTTATTGATTTATGTATGTTGAACCATTCTTACATGAGGCATAAATGCCACTTGGTCATGGTATACAATTCTTAAGGGTTCTTGAATGCAGTTTGCTGATACTTTATTGAGATTTTCTACTCCTATATTCATCAGGGATACTGATCTGTCATTTTCATTTCTTGTGTCCTTGTCTGGCTTTGGTTTCGGGTTAATGCTGGTCTAAGAGTTTGAGAAGGGTTGATGATGATGAGTCTTTGGTAGAATTCTTCAGTGTAGCCATCTTGTCCTCTGGTTTTCTCTGTGAGGTTATTATTGGCCTGCTCATATTATCTATTTCTTCCTGGTTCAGTCCCGTTTAAAATTTAGGTTTTATATTGGAGTGTAGTTGTTTAAGAATGTCATGCTAGTTTCAGGTGTCCTGCAAAGTGGTTCAGTTCTGCGTATACATGTATCTATTGTTTTTCAGATTATTTTCCCATTTAGATTATCAGAGTATTGACCAGATTTCCTTGTGCTATGCACAGTAGGTCTTTGTTGGTTATCTATTTTAAATATAGAAGTGTGTATGTCAGTCCCAAACTCTGGATTTATCCCTCCCCTTTGGTAACCATAAATTTGTTTTCTAGTCTGTGAGTCTGTTTTGTAAAAGGGTTCATTTCTATAATTTTTTTTTTTTTTGCTTCTACCTAGAAGTAACAATGCATTTGGAGTGACTATTGATAAGGATGCACTATTGCTATCTTGTCACTTGCCTTGTTTTTTTTATCTTTTTCCTGTTTCTACCTTTGTAAAGTGGTAGTTTTCCTTAGTGGCTTGCTCAGTCTACTCCTCATTTTTTCTTTGTTTCTCACCTCTGTTTTTTTGCTTTGTGGTGTTGGTAGTTGTTGAGTCACCAAGTTGTGTCCCAACTCTTTATGACCCCATGGGTTGCAGCACACCAGCCGCCTCTGTCCTCAGCCATCTCCCGGAGTTTGCTCAAACACGTCCATTGCGTCCAGTGATGTTGTCTAACCATCTCATCCTCTGCCACCCCCTTCCCCTCTTGCCTTCAATCTTCCCCGGCATCAGGGTCTTTTCCAGAGTCAGCGCTTCACATCAGGTGGCCAAAGTATTGGAGCTTCAGCTTCAGCATGTCTTTCCAATGAATATTCAGGGTGATATCTTTTAGAATTGACTATTTTGATATCCTTGCTGTCTAAGGAACTCTCAAGAGTCTTCTCCAAGTTTGAAAGCATCAGTTCTTGGGCGCTCAGCCTTCTTTATGGTCCAACTCTCACATCCACATATGACTACTGGAAAAACCATAGCTTTGACTATGAGGACCTTTGTTGGTAAAGTGATGTCTCTTTTTAATATGCTGTCTAGGTTTGTCATAACTTTTCTTCCAAGGAGCAGGCATCTCTTAATTTCATGGCTACAGTCACCATCTGCAATGGTTTGGAGCCCAAGAAGATAAAAATCTGTTACTGCTTCCACTTTTCCCCTTCTATTTGCCATAAAGTGATGGGACCAGATGCCATGATCTTAGTTTTTTGTATGTTGAGTTTCAAGCCAGGTTTTTCACTCACCTCTTACGTTGTAGCTTTCATAATACATATCGTAGGTAAAATAGTCCTTTTCATGTTGATAGCATCTTGTTTTCATTCTCCTGTAATGGTTCAACCCTTTTTACACCTCCCCTTTTATACTTTTGATGTCACAGTTTGCCTCTTTTTATGTGTACTTTCATTTGTTTCTGTGTCACTAGTTAGCATCATTTTATTTCAACTTAAGAACTCCTTTTAGCATTTCCTGTAAGGCAGGTTTTGTGTGTCTGGGAAAGCTTTTATTTCTCCTTCATAACTGAAGGTCAGCTTTGCTGGATAACTATTTTTTTGCCGGCCATATTTATCTTCCACAGTTTGAATATGTCATTCTACTTTGTCCTGGCCTGTAGGATTTCTGCTGGGAAATCCACTGATAGCCTTGCAAGTATTCATTTGTAAGTTACTTTTTCTCCCCACTGTTGCCTTTATTACTTTTTTTTAATGACTTTTGATGTAATGGAGGTCTCTTGGCATTGAGATAATGGGGTGTCCTATTGGGCTTGTAGGTCGTTTCCTCCCTGGCTTGGCAAAGTCTCGGCTGTTTCTTTAAATACACACTCTGCTGCTCCCCTCTCCCTCTCTGCTCCTTTGGATAGACCGTTATTCTCACTCACATTTGTTTTTCTCATCTCATCACGTATGCGAATTCTCTTAGGTTTTCTTCACTTTTTAAGAACCAAGTTGCTAATTCTTTGCCAGATTTCATCTGCCTGATTCCCTAAGCTTGCTACATATTCTTGATCTCATTCATTGAATTCTTCAGCTGAAGAATTTGGTTCATTTTGAAAATTCAGTATATTTGGTAAATAACATCTATATTTGGTAAATGACTGCCTAAGTGGCCTTGTACCTTCATCACAGCTGTTTCTAATTTTTATCAGATCACAGTATTCTGTGCCTGTGGATTCAGTTGCTGAAGAATTGTTAGTTTTTCTCTTTGGGGTGCCATGTCACCGTGATTTTTCAGTTTGGTAAGATGCGCCTCTGCCACCGAGTTTGAAGTAGCACAGCTTTCTTACTAGTTGTTAGGTGTTCCAGTTCAACACCGACCGTTAGAGGCCTTTCTTTTGTTCTCCACGAGGTGGCGGCATAGCTCAATTTTTGGTTTTTCTGTCTGAGCTGGTCCTAGGGCCATGCTGGGGAGAGCCTGTTAAAAAAGTCAGGCTAGAAAAAGCTGGTGGCAGGGTGGAACACGTGTGGGCTTAGCACCTGTGGCTGTCCACAGCAAGCGGGGACCCTCCACTGCGGTAAGCCCCGCAGAGGGCCGTGCACAGACCTCCGGCTGAAACCCGAGGCAGACAGCAGGGAGTGAGATCCTTTGGTGCCCTTTGCTCTCGTCTCCCCACCCCACTCCCACTAGTGGCTCCTGAGGAATTAGTGCTGCTGCAGAGAAACGGGTTCCTCCCGCTGTGCCCAGCCAGGCAGCCACTTAAGACCTCCAGGGAGGCGGCTGTGGTCACTGGCAGAGGAAGCCTCTTCGGCCTCCAAACTGGTTCCGGTCCCCCCACCGTGTGCCTGGCTCCCCACAGACACGCTCCCCGGCCCCTCCCCAGCAGGTGGGGTGAGGCAGGCTCACAACTCTGGGGACCGCGGTCCTGCTAAGGTCTCCCCACCTGCGTTCTTTTCGGTAGAAGTCTTTTGCATGTTGCGGTGTAGTGTACAGAGAAACTTTTGTTCAGTTATGACTGACTCAGCGATCGGACCCAGGGCTCCTGCATTGCAGGCAGCCTACTGTCTGAGCCGCCAGGGAAGCCCATGAACAGCCAGTTACTGTAACTAAAAGAAGAAAAGGAGCAGCTCACACTGCCATCGTGCCGTCACCTGCTCCTCTGCTTTTATCTGCACATGTCAGTTAGGTGTAATACCAGTAATTTAAAATTCCCATACCTGGAGATTGGGTGCTGTTCTTGAGACCCCAAGTTAGTTGAATGAAGTAAAAGGAAGATTCCAGGTCAAACACAGTTTATGTACGAAGGATGGCCTGTGGACTGCAGTACACCAGCAGGTTGTGTGGGCCGGGAGGGTATTCCTGGTTTTCAGCAGAGTAAATAGTCCCTTTCAAACCTGTTTCTTGGCATGCTGAAACAAGTATCCTCAGCATGGTGACAGCAGTTTCTAGTGCTTTTTAATTCTTCCCATAAATGATTGCCAGCTAAATGAAAAGCATGATGCTGGGTTTTGGAAGTATGTGTTAAATTACCATCACATAGCCTTGTATTTCTTAGTGCTTTTATTTCATTTCTTTTGACATATCTAAATGTCAGAAAGTATATACATACAAAACTCCAAACACCTTCCTAAACTGGTTTTAGTATCGGCGAGTCTCTGACGTCTCAGGCTGAATTGTCCAATATATGTCTAAAGTGCATCCTTGCAGCTAATCAGTAGCAGCATTTGTTTTGTCTATAAATCCTTAAGAAATATTCAGACAACAGGTGGAAAAGTCACCATAAAAAGCAAAGCGTGATCTAGATATATTTTTCCTTAATCATCCAAGACAGACACATGCATGAATTAGTTTATAAGTATACAAGAAATATACAAAAAAACCCAGCAATATAAAAAAGTTCATACAGCAACGAGAAAGAGGGGTCTTTCTCTGCTATTAATATTAAATATGGCAAGGTGTATAATATAAAAAGTTTGTAGAATCCTAGATATCTTTGGAGCCACAGGGGAGAATCCCTGATGGAGGCCAGTGTGTGATGACATATGAGGTCTGTGATTTTCAACAAAGCTGGAGTTTTACAAGTTTTCAGAAGGCACTGCTTTGGAGAAATCACCAACACAAATGATGAAAATGTTCTTTTGTTATTGAAACTGTCAATTCATGGCTTCTTGCGCCTAAAATGAAAACCAGCATTTAGTGTTGAATTTTGCAATGAATCTCTAGGAGGGCTTTGCGAGAATTCCTGTTTTATCATGGGAAAAGTTAAAGTCCTTCTAAGAAAGCAAATAAAATATGCTTATGTAGTATTTAATTAGACTTCCCATCTTTATTTTGTCACACTGATTTTCCAGATTGCCTAAGGAGTACATACATATGTCAGAAATGGACACATGGACCTGTATAGTTAGATATTTGACAAAAGGGGGCTTAAAATTATAAAAGAATGGGCCAGACTCTTGGGTGTGTCTTTAATATGTGATTGCTTTCCCTACCACAAATTTCACCATTCCGTTTTATTTTAATGAACACTTCTTGCTATAACAAGAGGGATTAGGAAAGAATGAATTATGTGAGGAGCTGTCACCCCTGACCCCAGCCTCCCCTCCTTATAAGTGATCTCCCTTAGGCCGCTGAAAGCTTTATGAGCACTCGGCAAATTAGGAACAAGAGTGAGTGTTCTTACAGCTCTAATAGCTCTTATCTAACCCCCCAGGGGTCTCAGCACTGTTACTGCCTACTGTAGTCTGCCAGTAAGGCCAGGATATTCCAGAGGGTAAAGAGAAACCACAGAGATGCTCTTAAAAAAAAAAAAAGGTGGATGTAGGGAGAAGGGGGTGGGGAGGGAAGACAGAGAAAGGCCACGCTTGGTCAGTACTCACTTGGGTTGTGCGTGGTGCTGGTACCCAGGCCCCAGCTGAGAGCCTGCTCTCATCTCCACAGCCACGGAGCACTGGGGAGAAAACCACAGAGAGGAGAGCTGTGAGGTACGGGGGTCTTTAGAGACCAGCCAGGTAATCTCATTTTCTATCAAAGACTTCTTGAGAAAGTTAGTGGTAAAGGCTGGAGCCTGGCCCCCACCGTCCCACACTCTTTATTCCAATCTGTCCCCAGGAATAACAGTTCTGCTCCTGAGAGGACGGACCAGCTTGATGGACATTCTTGTTCTTCTAGGGTGATGCTCTCTTCCTTGATTCTTAGGCACAGTCCCACTACACTAAAAACAGGGGCTTCAAACTGAAGAGCTCCATCAGTAAGACCAGAGCAGAAATACAAACACCTCCTCTGATTTGGCTCCAGGCTGCACTGGCCACGTGAGACCAGACATTAGCTGTTTGTTTCAAAGAGCATGAAGAGCTATAGCTGTGGGGCTTAATATATGACACCCCTACAAATATTTAACTCCTACCCTTGTTTCTACATCCGTCCATTCAGACTCTGTTCCATCTGGTTGGACAGGTGCTACTGTAGACGATCTTCGTTTTCGACTACAGAAAAAGGGAACAACACAACAGTTACTTTTTACATCTAAGAACAGGAAGAATATTAGAAATAGAGAAATACCATATATACTCCTTCGTAGAATTAATGACATGTTTTTACAGGCTAGTCTGTTCCTCAAGAATGAGCAGCTAAGAAAATTACAGCCCTGTAAAGAAAGCAGTTTGATGATCACTCACCTAGTTGGTGATTCTTGTTTTAACGTCTCTATTTCAGTAAACTGGACGGACTGTCCTCCACCCCTTGTTTTATAAACATCACCCTACAGCCAGGAGAAAAGATCACCATTACACTTTTATACATCCAAATGATAAACATACATATATATTTCAAACTGATTTTAAGACTTTTATGAAAACTCCCATCCACAAAACCAGATGGTGCTTGGACTGCTGGGTGTACACCTTAAAATACTTTAAAGAGTTGTATACATATGTCTCACTGAACAAAAGAAGTCTAATGCAGTGTAATTAACAGCATTCTTATTTGCAGAAAATAACATTCCTTTTTATTCAACCAGTAATTTAAAAACTACACTAAAGATCAAGCAATCTAGCAAATTTCTAAATGTTCTAAGGCAATATACATTCCTCTTTGGATGTTCCCCTTCTCTCATACACAAGTGACAGTAGTCTTTTATTTTTTTGGCCATTAGGTACAGCTTGTGAGATCTTAGTTCCCAGACCAGGAATTGAACCTGGGTCCTTGGCAGTGACAGCACAGAGTCCTAACCACTGGACTGGACTGCCAAGGAATTCCCTCGAATGACAGTACTCTTAAGCAACGGCAGGAGTTCTTTGTTTGATTTAAAACAAAATGCACATTAATTAAGAGTATATATCTGGAGTTCCTCTAACAGATTTAGTTCCAATTTAATAGATTTTAACCCAAGGAGTAACTTGAGTTTTCTAACAAAAAGGTTTTACCAACTACCCATTTATCTTCTAGTTGACACTGTCTGTGTGTCATCAAAGGCACAGAAGAGTAAATGGTTTTTGTGTTTTGGATGTTTCCTTCTCGTGTGTAAGTTACCTTAATTAGCTTAGTCTCAACCTCCCCATCGGAGGCTAGTTCCTGGTGTGTCAGCATGTACTTTTCACACTTAGCTAGCGCCTTTTCATTCGCAACAGACACAGTGATGGCGCGGGGCACATGTGGCTGCATGACTGTCTCAGTTTGCAGGTTAGTGGCAGGCTTATGGTCTACCCATCTGTCTCCCGCAGAGCGTGAGCGTCTGTGTCGCAGACGAATTGGTGGTGCGTTCTGATCGGATTGAGAGAGGAATCAAGAGACAAGCATAACCCAGAATTAATCTGAGGGTAGTTAGAAGTGCAGCAGTTTTGGCTACTTTAGTTGGTGACGGTATGAAAACAAATGCGTGAACCTTTTCAAAACCTCTGTTACTCAAGCAATTTAAATGTTCTCTTTGTATGTAAACACAAAACCAACAAACATCTTTAAACTCCAGTTTATGTATGTATTATATATTCTACTAGAGATCTTCCCTTTCAACAAAGAGTGGAAGGGAAAGTTCTGGTAAGGCTGCTAGTCTTTCCTGCATAGGTGGTGTTTAGAACAAATAATTCATTTTTGCATTCTTGATCAAAAACCAGTATTTGTTCCTGCTATTGTGAAGTAATCTGTTAGGTCCACACTATGTTAAAAGCTTCAAAAAGATCAATAAAATCCTAAACATATCATAGGCCTCTAAACAAAAGTGAAAATACTCCTATTAAAAAAAAATACCTCTCCCCCAGCAAAAGCTGATGGAGCTGTATAGTACATACATGCTAAAAAAATAAGGTATTTTAAGAATCTCATGTATAAAATGATTAGAAGAATGTAAATAAAGTACTTCTGCATACTTTAAAAAATCTCAAAACATATCTTTATGAAAAATTCACAAACATTTCATAAAGGTTCTAAGAACCAGATAAAGAGTACACTATCAAATCAGTCTCTATCATGCAATATAAAACTAGACACTTTCAGTAAAATGTTATATAAATTTAGGAGAGTTAAGTTTAGCACATTCAGCCTAAGGGGGGAGGGGGAATCACAGACAGAACATAGTTAATAGTTTCTTTGTAACTTTGCAAAGTTTTTGTTTGCAAAACTGAAAGCAAATGAAACGGTCTGTCACAGGCCAAATCCTTCAAAATGGGTCAAGTGTGGACACCTAATTTAAAATGAGTATCTGGAGAACTGAGGCATTTCCCCTGTACAATTATAAGAAACAAATGCACCAGTGACAAAATCATGACACCAAAACATGGGCAACAGCGTTTGCCACTCAGGATACCCAAGCCTCACAACAAGCAGGAAATGTCCCATTCTTAAAACGGCTTAATGCTGAACGAGGAAGAAAGAGGTTCTCATGACCTACCATTTAGCAAAGGTGATAGTTTTCTCAAACACATTTAGCAATAGACATTGTGAAACAAACTTTGGAAGATAACTGTCCTTACTTACACTCTACTGTCATTTATGAAATAAACATTTAAGTTTTCTTCCTCACTGAAGTACATAAATTGAGTCCACCTGACATAATTTTTGACCAGCAAACCTAGATGTGTATTCTGCTGCACTTCTAAAAAGATTTTGATTTCAAATGAAGAAGTTAAAGGATCTCTAGTAAATTCTCTTAGATATCTCTTAGCCAAATTAGATACTATGTTAATGTTGACCAGGCATAAGTAGGCCTTGAATAGTTTTCAGTCTATAAATTTGCATGAAATAAGGAGGATTTATTAGAGTTGATCAGAAAGACCAATCACCATATAATTTGCTCCCCAAAAAGGTTTAAAGCAAAATCTGCAAAGTAAAGAGCTTAAGCGACTTTAGACTTATCTGTTGCCTTTAACCTTGTAATTCATCATCATCCCTTAATAATCAGGAATGCAGGCCACCTAAATGAAATATTTTCTATACCCTAAATTATATAAAGAAAATCTAAAGCAAATGTTTGCTATAAGATTAAATTATTTAGAAGAAAAATTCTTAGATATATTAAAATTTTACTAAATGTAGATTCACAATATTAACTTTGTCAACTCACTCGGATTCAGAGGAAACTTTTACCTTAATTTTTAAGAAGAAAATATAAACATGAATTTGTTTAAACAACCTTGAATGAGGCAGAGCCCTTCTAAGTTGAGACAAAGCCCTTGAGATTAACAGCGATTTATTGGACATGTAAACCTTCCTTCAGCAGTTATAAAACAACTGGCCTGGGCTTCTCAAAAAATAGTATCATGAAAATTAAAAAAAAGGGGAGGATGGACTACTTTATATTAAAAAGATTATTATTATTATTATTATTATTAAAAAGAGATAGTAACCACATATAATGTATTCACCTTGACAGGACCAAGGTTTGAAAAATGAACAGCCATTCCTGGGACACCACTGACTTTCTCAGGTGTGATGAAGATTGTGGTTATGTATATAAGACACAAAGCCTATGACTTACCGTCAAAGGCTGAAGGAAAAAAATATTTACATATCTATTGTTTAAAATAAAAGTCCAGGAAAGCTGTTTTAAAAATGGAAATTAAAAAAAAGTAAAAAATCCAATTTGAGGAAGAAAAGCCAAAAGAAAAGAATGGAAAATGTACTCTAAGACAGTCACTGATTTTGTGGATGCTCATCAGTTCATGCAGCTGAGGAGCACATGTTCGCTGAACACGAGGCACTTTCTGTGCCAAATGCGGCTAGGCTTTTTTCAGATGAAGAGCTAGGCCTCAGTTTCAGGGTGATTTGATCTTTCGAACTAACAGAAAAATCAGACCTTGCTTATATTACAGCTCACCCATCATTCCGGTGAACTTTCAGAACCGAGTTATAGAAACACACAACAGTAAAATCTATTGCTACAATGCTTTAAAGTGATAACTGGCACTAACCCTGCTGCAGCGATCCTCTTCTACTCCTAGCTCATTTCTGAACGAAGAAACCACCTCCCTGCCTTCATTCCAGTACATCCCTCGCCTTCTGTCTGACACGATACAAGTTTTACTTTGTCCTGGCTCCTGCTGCCTACGCCTCGCAATAGATGTGACATTGAGAGGTGTGTTGTACGGAGGAATTTTCTGCTCCCATTCCGAAATACAGGAAGCTACAGAAATGCTGCTGCAAGAGTTAGAGCGCCTATGTAGCTGTTGACTCATGAGTTGCTGGCCGTTGGAAATCTGAGCAATATAGTTACTAGAAAGCTAAAAAAATTGAAGAGAAATTAATGAGCAGGAGTTGAAAAACTGAGAAACAATTCATTACTTTGCTATAGTTTTAGCTCATGAAGACATAATTATTCTTTTATAACTTTTTTAAGACATAATTTTTATACTGAATTACTAATTTTACACTAAATTTGTGTTTATACTAAATTTTTTAAGTATAAATAGAAATTTGAGAAATATAATAAATTTAAAACAAAAAATTTGATTCTCATAGAAATAATCAGCTAATCTGAACAAATCTTCTCTACGACTATGAAGTTACTACACAACTAGAGACAACTTACAGGTACAGGTGATGGAGAAACAGATCTTTGGGTAACTTTTTCGCGATCCCGCTCCCGAGAGGGTCTCTCTGGCTTTTCAGCTTTGGGCTCAGTGACGATCGCCTTCAGCTGTTTCAGCTTCTCGTCTTTCACCCAGAGTTTATTTTGCATCTCCAGCTGTTTGGCTGCCACTCGACGCTCCTGAAGGTTTGTGAATGGCAATAAGTAGTAGAGTTCAGTTACACCAAACCAACTGCACCGGTTCACCTGAACGTTTTATTTCCTAAAGACGACAGTTCTTCATAACGCTAATTAATTTGCTGTGACTTGTCAGGGCAGAGGAAAGAAGTAAAAGGGACTGAGTGGTGGCCACTGTCGCCACCACCACTAAAACGCTGTGTGTGTCTCATTCAGTCATGTCTGACTCTTTGAGACCCCACGAACTACAGCCTGCCAGGCTCCTCTGTCCATGAAATTCTCCAGGCAAGAATACTGGAGTGGGTTGCCATTCCCGATCCAGGGACTGAACCCAGATCACCCGCATTGCAGGCAGATTCTTGACCATCTGAGCCACCAGGGACCCCAGTGCAAGCCATTCAGAATCCTGTGGTTAAGAAATCAGTCACCCACGAGATGGATACTATAGGAATGACACTCACGCATTCTTTCTCCCACTTCATGGTTGTTTCTGTCACCATGCCTTGCAGCCTGGCTTCTAGTCTACGTTTGTCAGAAAACTGTCGCTGAAGTTTTTGATTCTGGGTTTCAAGCTCCTGTTGCAGATTTCGCTTATCTTCCTCATAGATGGTCGTTGTTTTCTCTAAAATCTCAACCTGGTAATGTAGACCATTATGGTCAACATTTGATGAATAAACATTTCAAGTAGCTTTAAACTAATCTCTCTCTCTTTAAAATAATCTCTCTCATAATCTGCCTATGCAAGCATAGTTATGGAAAGAAGAATCATGAAGAAAACATTTTCCTCTAAAATTTCATCTGAATGCCCATCTCTGTTCCTAGAAATGAGGACTTTTAAACAAGCTCCTCACTGAAAGATGAAATTATAATTGATTTCATGTGAAAATTACTGTTCCCTAAAATTTTGTTTTTATAAAGGCCACTTTCAGAATGGAGAACACTGTATTGTTTGAGATTAGCTTCTGTTTAGAATGAATCATGTATCCCCTAAATTATCCTCAGTAGTAAGTCAAAAAGCAATTTATAATCAAAACTAAAACACCAGAACATTCACATCAATTGGTAAGGTCTGTCTCAAAAAGAGTATTCTATCTACCCTTTTATTGCCATTCATTAATAGTTCCTCTGTATGGGGAATGGGATGAAGATTAGCAAATAACCAAGTGATAACTCCCAAGGAAGCAGCAGCTGCAGGTCCGTATAGTAGAACAGCTAAATCAAAGACCAGTGTTAAATGTCCAGCACATACATCCATTATAATAATCCCCAAACCAACCTTATATTCTAAAGTTTTGTTTTTCTTCTCCAGTCGTTCTATTTCCAGTTTCTGTCCTGAGATCACCTTTTCTTTTTCATTTAGTTTTCCTTGAATATAGTTTTCTTTATTTAAAACAGCATTGTCAAATTCTTGCAACAAAGCCTTAAAATTAATAGCTGAAACAAAAGCATGCAGGCCAAGTTTACTCCAATTCCAAAATAACTGGTGAAGTCAACTTTTATAACTGATATTTATATAAAATGAAGCTCTTTAGCAAATACCCCTTTGAAAGTCTATAAGCAGAAAACAAATCTGGAAGGAAATCAAGAGTTTGATTCTCAAATCCACAAGAGACACTTTTGTTACTGAAAAAACACTTAGGTCTTTCATTTTGCACTATAGCATAAATAATTTTTTGAGAACAGATGCAGAAACAGAAGTAACACTAGCCTTAAGGACAGTTAATTCAAGTAGAAATCCCTATGCACCATTCACTAGTCATGTGACATGGGCAAGTTATTTGTTTCTGAGCATGTTTCTTCATTTTAAAATGGAGATTTAAGTACCATTTTTCTCACAATGGTGATAAGAATACATACATTGAATAAGCACTTCCTATGTACCAGGATGTCATACATGATTTTCAAACATCATCTCATTTATCCTTATATTTAACATCCTCCCTCTGAGGCAGGAACAATTATAATCCCATTTTGCAGACAGGGAAACTAGAAATAAAGTATTAAGTAATTTTCTCAAAGATACAGTTATTACGATATAATACATGTTAAATGCCTTGCATATAAATAACTAAGAAGTAGCTCTTTTCCCTTTCGTCATGACTATTAGTGTTTAAAGGGGATAAATTCACATCCACTTTGATCTTCTGCTTTATATCCTTAGGATATAAAATGATGCCTTTGGTGGGTACTAAGTTCAGAGACAAAATAATCCTTCCTTGAAGGTGCTGTCCCAACACAAAACTCCCTGCAAATTTCTCATATTAAAATAACTAGAAACAGTTTGCCCTTACACTGCTTGTTAAACTCATCAATCATCATTTGTCGTAGGTGATGTCGTCTCTCTAATGCTTCAATCAGCCTGGGAAGAGTCTGCTCATCATTGACATCCAGAAGTTCGCAGGATGGCAAAGGTGGGAAACTTTGTAAAACCACTTCTGAAACCAGCGGTTCTGTATGGAGTTGTTTAAAAAAAAAGTTACACAGGAGAGAAAGTGTTATTCAAACAAGTTTAACACTGGTAAGAGCCCCAGTCCAATCAACAGTTTACTTTGTTGGGCTCATAATATTTCCTTAAAAATGAGATGAGTTGTAAAGAAGAAAAAAATGTCAGAGTATATAATAAAAGAAATGTGATTTATACTTTGGTTCAGACTTTTTTTGCTCTTGTTTGTTGAGGGGAAAGAAAGTGAACAGTTTTCTTAAGTGAAATAGATTTTAAAAAAGAGAGAGACAGAGACAGACTCATCAGCAGGCAGATGACACCACAGCAGCTCATACCGTCTCCAACAGGACCTGCCCGGGCCTGGTTTCTGTATCGCCTCCCCGGTGTTAAACCGCATATGGCCTTGTCTGTTGGTCTTGCTACTTCAACTTCTTGGGTCACTTCTGCAAATCTCATTACTTGCTAAGATACAACATATATATAAGTGTTTCTAGTCTTTCTTCAGAAATTAGTAAATGAGACAGTAATATATTGGTTATTAGTTCACTTCTGTAACCAATGGTTCTGTATCAATTTTTAAAATGTTCAAAATGTTATTCTTCACATGCAAATAGTTTTGTCTACAGAAACTCAGATTTCATAAAGGCATTAAAATTACCAAGCTTTCTTCATAATCTTCGGCCTTTGGATTCACACACACAATCAGGCGTACTTTCCCTTCCCCGTCAAAATAGTTCTTGAACAGATGGGTTAACTTTGAATCTCGATATGGAACCATCTATAAATATATCCAAACCCAAATACATCAGGCAGAAACTGCACACAAACAAAGCTATACAAAATATACAAACAACCAAAGGCCGCCACTCACCTTGTTGGTGCCGTAAGTCTGGTTCTCTCTCAGGACCTCCATGCATGTCCGCAGTGTCATAAGTGACTGGTTAATGTTACCTGGCAGAAAAATGCACACAGGCATCTGAAGACACTGACGGAGTAGCCAGAGTACGGTCTGTTTGTCTGTGAAATATCTACTTCATACAACTCTCAGATGGAAATTACAAATGACAGATTTTAGTGGGCTCAGCTTAAAGAACTGTCCATATCTGACAGTGTTGCAGGAGAGTGTAAGTACCAGGATTCTTATGTAAAGACTCTCCACTGAATGTAACATTATACTTCATGACCCGTAAAGTTTCTTTCAAATCTTAAATACCATGAAATGAAAGAGTATATGAGTACAGATGTTTAATATCCTCTAAAGCATGCCCATATTTCAGGCCACAGTTGGCTCCATCCAGACATTGATGTCTCCCTTGCACCAGAAGGAGCTCCTGTTTCTACCAGTCAAGGCGTCTCAAGAGCCAACTAAATCTGTTCCCTCTATATCTTAAGGTTTCTTAGGCAGCATGCTTGTTAGTCCTGGCCACTCATTTGAATTTCTGAGTCAGGGCAAGTCTGACAGATCTATCAAGCCAGCAATACAGGAGATCTCACCTGCAGAGACCCCAAAGCATCACAACACAGAAAAGGTTTTCACTTTGAAACCATGCTTTCATTCTTGGCCACCTTTCAAAATACAGAGCTCGTCTGTGCCTCCATGATAATCCATGATTCGTGCTTTCTCTTCCTTGACCCCAGCTCGCACTCTCCTTCCTCCTCTTCTTCCATGTGTTCTTCAAAACCCATATCCCCGTCAATAGACTTGCCATACCCTCAGAACGCTCACAGAACGATCCATTGCATCTCTTTCTCTAATGGCCACTTGTGATCTGGATGTTGTCCATGGGTACACTTCAGGGAGTGTGCATACATGGATGGGAAGTAAATACATCTTTTTTCTTACTAACTGCTGAAATTTAGCTGTTTCTTCAATTAGGAATGTAGGCCAAACACCTATAGTAATGGTAGTAGTACTACTTGTGGTTTCTAATCAACAGAAGTCACAGATACTTTTATAACAGTTTATTGCTTATCTCAAGATACTTACATTCTTTACTACTTTGAAATTATGTAGTTACAGACATGCTGTCAGGTTTAAGGCATTAATAAAGTATATAAATTACTGTATGACAGGTTTTAAGAATACTTTTAAAAACACATTTCAGTCTAATTGGTTTCTTTTGTAATCCTGTATTTTATGTTATACTTTCTAAAATATTCTGAATCATATCCACAGGCTTCACCCCACCCATGATGCAAAACCCTACAACCTTGTTTTTATTTCCCAGAAGAGTGGTGCTTCCCCTGTAGTCTTGTGAATAAAAGTTGCCTGCTTTCTAAAAGCCTGACATAGTAAAAGGATGGTGAGCAGCAGGAGGCCAGCAGCATTTTCCTAGTCCCTTGCTGTTGCCTTTAAACACATTCCCCTTACACGCCAGCTCCTGGGTCAGCTTCAGCATTTAACAGGAATGTCACTCTCACATGCCATCATCAAGCCCAGGAAATCTTTCTCTCTTTAGCATTATAGCCACGCCCTGAAACTTGTCACTCAGAACTCCAAAACCTCTAGAAATCTGAGGTTGTCACATATGCCCCAGCCACAAACTAGCCCCAGTATAGTTTTAACTCCCTAACTATGTCACCTCTTTCCCATCATGTCAACACTGATATGGTTTCTGTTCTTGTCTCCAAAGCATCAGAACCCTCAGGTTTCTTCTTTCCTTCCAATCCAGCTAAACCTGCTTTCCTAAGGTTAATCCTTCTTCTTGTGATCTGGATTCTAGATGCTTTGTCTTTTTATATAGACGTATATAAAGTGTGTATGTTTTTAGTCCTGGGCCATTAAACCTGGGGCTTCCTAGGTGGCTCAGTGGTAAAGAATTTGCCTGTCAGTGCAGGAGACACAAGAGATGCAGGTTCAATCCCTGGGTTGGGAAGATCCCCTGGAGTAGGAAATGGCAACTCCAGTCTTCTTGCCTGGAAAATCCCATGGACAGAGGAGACTGGTGGGCTACAGTCCATCAGGCCACAAAGAATCAGACACGACTGAACACACACGCGAACACCTAAGCCAGTGCGCCACAGCTGCTGAGCCCATGCACTGCAACTACTAAAGCCCATGCGCTCTAGAGCCCCTGCTCCTCAACAAGAGAAGCCCCCACAATCAGAAGCCTGCACACTGCAGCTGGAGAGCAGACCCCCCTCGATGCAACCAGAGAAAACCCGATGCAGTAATGAAGACTCAGCACAGCAAAAAATAAACAATTCTTTTAAAAAGTGTGTGTTTAGTCACTTCATAACTCCAAGTCACCTAGCTATCCACCCCCCCTCCTTCCCAGACTCAAGGATCTATTGTCCTTGAGACCCTCCCCTCAGAATGTTCCTCTTTGTATTCCATGAATAATCTTATCTTCCCCATTGCTTTAATCATGTCTTCACTGCACAACCTAAACCTACAAACCTCAAGCCAAATCTTTCTGCTTCCATATCTCTCTACCTCTGCATCCAATTGCTAGGCACCTACACTTGAATAAATGGAATATGTTCAACACAAAACTCTTAGCTGCCCACACCTGCACCTCAAACTACTTCTCAGTCAAGATTTTCTTTGGTTTATCCTCCTCTCTCCCTTCCTCTCCACATCCAGGTGGGCCTGCTTCCAAACTAGCTCTTAGTTTTGGCTGACCTTTGCCTCCAGGTGACAGGACTGCTCATCTGAATTACTGCAAAAGGTTCCCAACTGCTTTTCATCTCTCTACACTTGCCTCTGATAAATTAATCTACTACACTGGGAAAATCTTTTTAAAACTGATGGTTCACTGGCTGTGTAACAGCAGAAAGATACAAGTTTTGGAAGTTCAACCAACCTGGGTTCCAACCAGGCTCTAACCTTGGGAAAATTAGTTAACCTCTTCCAGTCTGACAAAATGGGTATGATCCAATCCTGGAAAGTCAGAATCAATAAATCAAGCCCATATATAGTAGATGCTATGATACTCAGCCCTTAATAACTGGTAGTCACCATTATTCCTTCAACAAGAAATTAACACTAATATGATAGTCAAGGGTCTTCATGGACTTGCCTTGCCCTCCGGCCTCAGTGGTCACAGGTCACCAACCCACACCCTCCACTTCAGCTACCCTGGCCCTGCCATGTTCTCCCAGGGATGGTGACTTTAACTCTATCGCTCTTCTGAGAGCTCATGCCTCATCAGCTCCACGCATTCTTCCCCAACGCCCCATCTCACATACAGCCCCAGAATGGATGGAACAGCCCTGCCCTGTATCCCCACAGCACCTGCTGCTCACCTCCCTCACGTTCTACTAGCAATTTGCCTCTTTTGTACTAGATATGTGTTCAATTCCTGTAACAAAGTAGGTACTCCATAAATGTTATTAGCATAAATCATACCATAAATGGCTATACTAAATGAAAAATTAAGAAAAACACAGATTTCAACTGGCTATTGCGTTCAAAGATTTTTCCTATCTCCATAAGCCAATTTTTACCACTGTGAATGTTGGAGGAACTATTAAATCACTTAATTTTATGGACCCAGTACTGGCACTCTAGCCATAGATATAATGCTTTCAACAGGAATATAACTTACTTTCTATTTAGTCACTTTTCCTCATTCTTAGCCTTCCGTGGTGGCTTAGTCAGTAAAGAGTCTGCCTGCAATGTAGACCACCTGCAGCGTAGGAGACGCAGGTTCAATCCCTGAATTGGAAAGATCCCCTGGAGAAGGAAATGACAACCCACTCCAGTATTCTTACCTGGAAAATCTCATGAACAGAGGAGCCTGGAGGGCTACAGTCCATGAGGTCAACAAGAGTCAGACGTGACTTAGCGACTAAACCACCACCTCATTCTTAAAGAAATTAGTGTGTTGTAATAGATCAACATGAAACCAGCATAAAGAAAAAGCACTAGTCACTTAACTTAGCCTCTAAATTTTTAGTCAAATTGAAGACAGTTAGGCTTAAACCATCAATAAGCAGGCAATAAACTGGCACTGCAAGTTTCTGAAAGTTGTAGCAATAAGTAAATACTATGCTTTGCTCACCAGCTTCACGTAATCGGTTCCCTTCTGCTTTTGTCCGGTTAGTTCTTTCACTTCCAGCAAGATCTACCAAAGACAACTGGCTAATAGTGATTTGTTCTTTTTCCTGAAGGGAAGATAATGCCAATCTCATGAATTATAACTGGTTTACAGTGTTCTTTAAATATATTCAAGTGAAATTAGGTCTTAGGAATATAAGTTTTGCATAATACAAAATGCATAATAAGGGGGAAGGATACATGTTTTGGGGGGACAGTTTACTAAAAGCATATGATAAATATCCCCATGACATTACTTGCAGACTATGTTATACTGTAAGCTCCACAAGAACAGGAACTGTCTTTTAACCACTTCATCTCCAGCACCTTGCACAGTTCCCAGCACTCAGCAGGAGCTCAATAAATGTCTGCTAAATAGTCTACAGCAAGACTAAATATTTGTATAATGAGATATTTAATAATCTTATAGCCTAATAATTTCATAATACTCTAATAACTTTCATAAGAAAGTCAGACACATAACTGATATTACTAATACATTAGATGTGATTCAGAGGAAAGCAAGTGTATAGAGACTTAACTTAGAAGCATTTTCTAGCTAACATTTATCAAGTGCTGACTGTAAGCCAAGCAATGGGCTAAGAACTTTACATGCATCACCTCCTTTAATCCTCACAGCACTACAACTGGAATTTTGTTGTGAAAAAGGTTTACAAATCTTTATAAATATCTAATAGATAAAATATGTTATGATTCATTGTTTTTCTCTGAAGACTCATTTTGAATGTAGAAAGAGTTTTATTACACAGAAATTGTTTATTATGTAGAGGAGTTTATTACAACTTGGTAAGACAGCTAGTAAATGCACAGAAACCAGAATTCAAATCCTTGTGGTCTTCAGTACCATGCTGTACCATCTACTGCCATCTGAAAACCTTCGTGATACACCACATATTCATGGTATGTTTTGAATGGGATTACATTTTAATACCTTAAACTAATTAAATGATTTTTACATTCAGGGTCAGATGCTGTTACTAATTCATATAAGCCTTGCAGCATGACAGGACCAGCATTAAACAGTGACCAGCAGCTGCGGGCTCCACTGGCCTGTCACCAAGAGAGAACAGTCTAGAATTGACCACTCCTGAAAAGTTTGTTGGTAACATTTTAAAACCAGGAATAATTTCTACATACAAAAACGAGTCTTCAGAGAAAAACAATGATCATATTTTATCTCCTCTATTAGATATTTATAAATATTTTTAAACCTTTTTCACAACAAAATTCCAGGTTCTAAGATTTAATAGCTGGTTTCCTAGAACAAGAGTTCCCCAGTGGCTAAGATGGTAAAAAAATCTGCCTACAATGCAGGAGACCCAGGTTCGATCCCTGGGTCGGGAAGATCCCCCTGGAGAAGGGCGTAGTGACCCACTCCAGTATTCTTGCCTAGAAAATCCCGTGGACAGAGGAGCCTGGCAGGCTACAGTCCATGAGGTCTCAAAGAGTCGGACATGAGTGACTAACACTTCCTAAAACTATGCTACCTAATTAGTGAAACATTTTTTTTTTAAATGTCATCACCTACACATAAGATAATTCTAGCACAATATTCAGTGTAATGAAACCTTCATGATTTAACTCTAATCCCTAAGTTTAGGATTCAGAACAGGAAAAACTCTACACATTAAACCTTTACCTGTAAGACGTTGTCTCCATCTGCATCCAAGGGAGCCTGAACTAATTTAATGTTGAACACACTATGGGAACGGCTGGACTCATGATTCAAGTGTGTGTTAGCAATTCGTCGCTTTTTCTGGCCTACAGTGACAGAGAAATCATTGCTTGTTTCAATGTATATACTTTTTACCAAAATAAAAAGTATTGTCAGTAGAGTGGCAACTTTCAGGATTATATTTATCACTTTATATATTTGTACTTCTAACTCTGCTTCTAACCTCTCCAGAAAACTTCAAAAGCCTCCTCAGTAGATTTCACTTCTACTTCCGTACATCCTGCAACGTACATGTTATGGTTCTTGTCTTCACGAAGCAGTTTAGATTGTGGAGGTCTAGGGGAAAGAAAAACACATTAGTTTCCTAAACTATCTCAGGACTTAAGGACTAAAATGTCAGGCAACATGATATCCATTCTTACAAAGGGAATAAGCCTAAGCAAGACTCCAGAAGAATATTACACTTGGATAAGAATAAGGATATACAGTTAAGATTAGTTACATAACAGGAATCTATTTTGTTATAAAAGCTTTGCTCTAATTCGTTCCTATAAAGCACATGAAACAACACTTACTAAACAGAGATCAAAGTAGTAGTAAGCACCATCACATGCAAAGGTTAAACATCAAAATCTAGCATTTTCTTAATTTTAAAAGATCAACAGATCGAGCTGGTTCTGTCAACAAAAAACAAATTCAGAAGGAGTTTGGTATATACCAGGAGTGGCAATCCTTTTAAAGTGGCTGGTCAAGTTTTACTCTTAAGGTAGGATGAAGATGGGAAAGATGCTGCCTGGTTGGCCTCAGTCGTGTGAACAGCGGGGGCAGATACAGTTACCAGCCACCATTATTCAGCCAATGGCAGATTTCTCAGGAAGGCGGGGCTTAGAGGTAGCAGCCGGCCCAGGACCAATGAAAAATCACCTACATGCGAACATGCCACAAATGCCAACCACTAATATAACTGCACCCTTCTCCTTAAGAAAAGAGTCAACACATCACATACACAAAATCTGTGTTCCTCATGGGTGTGCTGCAACTGTTCCACCTACCAAAGGAATAAGGCAGAAGTTACTGTTTCTGCAGCAGCCATCTCATAACAACACATTCAGTCTAGAGTATGTGACACTTACAATGAGTCATATCTTAAAAATTCTCCTTCATTGTATTAAAAACTAAACCTTAATTCAGCTCCCCCCCCCCCAAAAAAGGTTAAACACCACCCTAACAAAATGAATTCACTGCCAGATAAGCACCCATGAGTTCATTCAGGGTGTTACCAGGAAGGTTACAAGGCATGCACTCACATTTGTCAGTCTTTATGTACATAATAAAAACAAGATAGGCTTCTTAGAAAATAGCCTCATTTGGAACAGATCAAACAGAAACTTGGTGCATGTGCAGATGTGAAAGTGATTAATGACATTAAAAAAGTTTATGAAAACGGGTACACACAACCGACACTTTGAAATAAGTAAGTAATTAGTCTGTGGGGGTTTAGTCGCTAAGTCGCGTCCGACTCTCGCGACCCCATGCACTGTAGGCTGCCAGGCTCCTCTGTCCATAGGATTTCCCAGGCAAGAATACTGGAATGGGTTGCTATTTCCTTCTCCAGGGGGTTTTTCCAACCCAAGGATCGAACCCAGGTCTCCTGCATTGCAGGCGGATTCTTTACCATCAGAGCCACCAGGCAAGCCTGATAATAATTAGTCTATAAAGTCTTTAATATTAAGTTAAAATCTAATTAGTCTATAAACTCTTTAATATATACATTATAATATAAAGTGGAAATACTGACACATCAGTGTAATGGTTTTTCAAATCTAGCTGTTCCTTCACTAATACCTGATTGAGTCATATACTGAAAAGTTAAATATATAATACAGGTCTTCACATTATTTATGTCTTAAGAGGCCCTAACAAAGACAGCACTGAAGACAAGCATTTAGCTTAAGACTATAAACAAGATATTGTTATTAGACATGAGATTCCGGAGTCCACTCTGGCACAAAGGTAATTTGTAATGCCAGACTGTAACTGGCCTTCAGTCTCAGCAGGACAAGACCCAAGGAAATCTAAGGAATAATCTTTTAACTCCGGTGCAATGACAATCCGGATGTCACTTCTGATTAATCAATGATGGAAAGTCTGTGACTACTAGTTGTGCAGATAGCAGCTTTAGGCTCCATTCTGTGGAGATCACCAGGACACAGATTAGAGGCTGCAAATTCCCAACGTTAAGTGTTAGGTTCTTGAAAGGCAGCCCCAAGGCACACCTATAGGGACACTTCTTTATACAATTAAGATCCTTCTCAAAATGGAGCCAGGAGGGCCAGGAGTTTTCAGAAGTAAAGTCTTAAGGCGAATATTCTCCTTAGGTACTTTAACCCACTGGTTTTCCTAATACAACTAACTACATATCAAGTAAATAACAGAACTATTCACCACACACCAAATGCATGATATATGAGTTATATTTCATTTTGAAAACAGAAGTAAGCTTTATCCCCATTTATAGCTGAGGAAACTAAGGTCACTGATGTGAAGTGACTTCGTCAAGGTTAGTCAGCTAAAAAGGGACTCTCTCCACTACTTACTTAGGCTTTATGGGATCAAATGGCATCTCTTCCAGTAGATCATATATGTAATTATTATATATTTCAATATAAGAGACAAATACACCATAGACACTATCTTCATCAACCTCTTCTGCTTTGCAAAATTCTTGTACATTTATCATATCTGCAAACTCTGGATCTACTTGTCGTCTGAAAAAAGAAAAAAGTCTCAATCTCATCATAAACATTTTAGTCATAAATGACCTCTATTACAAGCAAGACTGCACAGAGCAACTTTATTCATACTCATGGCTGGGCCACCAGTTCTCCCATGTCGTCCCAGATACACAGCACAGACTTTTACACCTTCTTTCACCCAGAGTGGCACCTTCTCCCTACACAGTGATTCAAGGACAGTGCATTCAAAACCAAATAGAACATCTGAGCAAACATAATTAAGAACAGCCCTCAACTTTTATCTCACTAAAGTCAACTGTCAGACCAACTTCTCCACTTCTGACCACCAGACAGGGTTCCTGTGAGGCCAGTATTACAAAATAGAATTACTTACTTGCTAGAGGGGGTCTTTGGATTGGGTGTGGCTTCTCTTTTCTGCCGTTCTAATAAAGCATCAACTTCACATTGTATATCCATACTATTCCTATCATTAGATTTAAAAACCTAAAATGAGGGCAAAAACCAGACCATATTTTTTAGACTTTGTCATAAATAGTAAGAAATATATTTAAGAAACAAGACAGTTTACATTTAAACATATTTAAGGTTTTAAAAGGTATTCAGTGCCTTAGTTCTCCCTTAATAATATTGTATTCACAGGTATTTTGGCACCTATGTCTTTCAGTGAGAGTCATAATACAATTTAAAAACAACACACACACTTACGTATCGTTTAGCTTGAAATGACCCTATACTGTTAAAAAGCATGTCCAAACAGCGAGGAAGCAGCCCTCCTTCCCCTGGAGAACCAGTCATAGTGTGAGTTTTTCCGCTTCCCGTCACACCATATGTAAAAAGGAGACCTACAACATAACAAGTCACAATTATATAGTAAAAGTCATAATAGGTTGTATCTTGAAAGTTCTCCACTTATAATATTTCTAATACTGCATTAGAAAACACTTAATATTAACTAGTCAATACCTCACTAAATAAGGTAAATGCTGACAACCATAAACGGAGAAATCACAGTAAAACAGTAATAGCGGGAGCCTTTGACAGCCCACTTACATCAATGGACAGACCATCCACACAGAAAATCAATAAGGAAACACAGGCCTTATATAACAATAACACTTCACCCTGAAGAGACTTAACTGATATTTATAGAACATTCTGTCCAAAAGCAACAGAATACACATTCTTTGCCGGTGCACGTGAAACATTCTCCAGGATAGATCATATGCGGGATAACAAAATAAGTTTCAGTAAATTTAAGAAAACTGAAATCATATCAGGCATCTTTTCTGACCACAACACTGAGAGTTAGAAATCGATCACAAGAAAAAAGACTGTCAAAAAACCCCAAACAAGTGGAGGCTAAATGATGCTACTAAACAACTGATAGATCACTGAAGAAATCAAAGAGAAAATGAAAAAATACCTAGAGATAAATGACAACAAAAACATAATATTTAAAAACCTATAAAGAAATCAAAAAGAATAGTTAGACAAATGACAACAAAACATAATAATCAAAAACCTATGTGATGCAGGAAAAGCAGTTCTAACAGGGAAGTTTATAGCAATACAGTCTTATCTCAGAAAACAAGAAAAATCTCAAACAACTTAACCTTACACCTAAAGCAACTTCATAGCTCAGTCGGTAAAGAATCCGCCTGCAGATTCTTTCTGTAGGAGAATGCAAGAGACCCAGGTTCAACTCCTGGGTCGAGAAGATCCCCTGGAGAAGGAAATGGCAACCCACTCCGGTGTTCTTGCCGGGAGAATCCCATGGACAGAGGAGCCTAGCAGGCTACAGTCAGTCCATGGGGTCACAAGTGCGGGACACAACTTAAGAGACTAAACCACCACCACCACCACCAAAGCAACTAGATAAAGACCAACCAAAACCCAAAGCAGGTAGAAGGAAAGAATTTATAAAGATCAGAGCAGATTTAAACAGAGATGAAGAAAACAATAGAAAGGAGCAATGAGACTAAAATCTGGTTTGCTGACCAATCACAAGTACTGAAATTGAAACTGACTGGAAAAATCCAAACCAAAAAATTCCAGAAGCCAATGGCTCCACAGGTAAATATCATCAAACATTTAAATTAGAGTCAATATCTATCCCTCTGAAAATATCCCAAAAAAATTGCAGAGGAAGAAATAATCCCATTCTATGAGGCCATTATAATCCTGATAAAAAAGTCAAGAATACCTCAAAAAAAAAAAAATTACACAGATAAATACGCTGCTCATCTTTTGATAAGCAAAGACATAGAAATCCTCAGCAAAGTACTAGCAAAGCGAACCTAACAATACATTAAAAGGATCACACACCATGATCAAGAGGGATTTATCCCAGGTATGCAACAGTTTTTCAATATCTGCAGATCAGTGTGATACACTACATTAACAAACTGAAGAGTAAAAGCCATATGATCATCTCAATAGGTGCAGAAATGCCTTTGAAAAAATTCAACAAGCATTTGATAAACTGTCCAGAAAGTGGGTACTAAGGAAACACAATAAAGGCCATATGTGAAAAACCTACAGCTAACGTCAACTTACTCAGTGGTGAAAAGTGGAATGAATTCCCATTAAGCTCAGGAACAACAAAAGGATATCCACTATTGCCAGTTTTATTCAACATAGTTTTGGAAGTCCTAGAAGAAGAAATAAAAGGAATCCAAACTGGAAAAGAAGATCTAACAATCCCACTACTAGGAATATACCTAGAGAAAACCGTAATTCAAAAAATACATGCCCCTCAGTGTTCACTGCAGGACTATTTACAATAGCCAGGACATGGAAGCAACCTAAATTTCCATCAACAGAGGAAGAGATAAAGAAATTGTGGTATACATACACATGGAATATTACTCAGCCATTAACATGAATGAAATAATTCCATTTGCATAATATTGATGGACCTGTAGATTATCAGACTAAGTGGAATTAAGTCAGATGTCACATGATATTGCTTATATGCAGAATCTAAAAAAATAAAAATAAATGTACCTATTTACAAAACAGAAACAAATTCACAGGCTTAGAAAACAAACTTAACGGGGTTACCAAAGGGGAGGGGTAAATTGGTAGTTTGGGATTGACATAAACACACCACTCATTTAAAACAGATCACCAACAAGGACCTACTATAGCACAGGGAACTCTAGTCAATATTACATAATAACCTAAATGGGAAAAGAATCTGAAAAAGAACAGATACAAGTATATGCAGAGGTGAACCACTTTGCTGTACACTAACATGACATTCTTAATCAACTATACTCCAATATAAAACATAAATTTTAAAAAGAGAACTGAATCAAGAAGAAATAGAAAATGAACAGGCCAATAGATTAAATCAGTAATCATAAACCTCCCAACAGAGAAAACCCCAGGACAAGACGGCTACACTGAAGAATTCTACCAGACATTCGAAGAATCACCAATACCTGTCCTTCTCGAGCTCTTCACAAAAATCTGAGAAGGGAACTTTCAAACGCATTCTACGAGGCCACCATTAACCTGAAGCCAAAGCCAGGTAATGACACCACAGGAAATGAGAACTATAGACCAATATCCCTGATGTATATAGGAACGGAAAGACTCGACAAAGTATCAGCAAACTGAATTCAAGAACAGTTAAAAAGAATTGTACATAACAACCAAGGGGGATTTATGCCTTGAATGTAAGGATGGTTCAACATATGGAAATCAATAAATGTAAACATATTAATAAGATAAAAGATAAAAATCACATGTTCATCTCAATAGACACAGAAAAACCATTTGACAAAATACAACATTCTTTCATGATAAAAACCTTTAGCAAATTGGGTACAGAAGAAACATACCTAAACATAATGAAGTTCATGTATAACAAATGCACAGCTAACATGCATGTTAGCTGTTAGTCTCTCTCAATGGACAAAGACTGAAAGTTTTACTTCTAAATTCAGGAATAAGACAAAGAAGTAAAAGGCATCCAAATAGGGGAAGAATAAGTAAAACTTATTCTATTAGTAAGTTTTTCTTATTTTTTCTATATACAGAAATCTAGGTGATATGATCCTGTATATAGAAAATATCAATGACTCTACCAAAAAACTGTCAGAAATTATCTATGTTGTTAGTAAAGTTGCAGGATACAACATCAACAATATAGAAATTAGTTGCACTTCTATATACTCAGGAGAAACATATGATAAAGAAGTAAAATTATTCCATGTGTAATAGCATCAAAACAGTAAATTACTTAGGAATAAATATAACAATGGAAGTAAAAGATCTGTACAACAAAAACAGACTGCTGAAAGAAATAAAAGACACAACAAATAGAAAAATATATATGCTTATGGTCTGAAAGAATATTGCTAAAATGTCTATAATACTCAAAATCTACAAATTCAATACAATCCCTATCAAGACATTAATAGTATTCTTCACAGATATAGAAAAAAAAAATCCTAGAATTTGTATGGAACTACAAAAGACTCCAAAAGTCAAAGTAATCCTGAAGAACAAAGGTGGAGGTATCACATACTTCCAGACTTCAAGCTGCGCTATAAAACTACAGAAATGAAAACAGCATGGTTCTGGCACAAAAATAGCCACACAGACCAAGAACAGAATAAAGAGCCCAGAATTAACCCAGACCATACAGTCAACTTATATTTGACAAGGGAGCCACCCAAGAGCACCCAACGTGGAAAAGATAGCTTCTTCAACAATTGGTGTTGGGAAAACTGGATAAACACGTGTAAGGCAATGAAATTGGACCCCTATCTTACACAACTCACAAAAATTTACTAGAAATGGATCAAACATAATTTACTCAAACACAAAACCTGATACTATAAAAAAAATCCTAGAATGAAACATAGGAGAGAAGTTCCTCAACATTGGTTTTGGCAATTTTTTAAGTATGACAGCAAAAACTCAAACAACAAAAGCAAAAATCAACCAATGGGACTACATCAAACTTAAAAGCTTTTGCACAGTAAAGGAGCAATTAACAAAATGAGCTATCACCTCATGCACGTTAATCATCATCAAGGCAATCATCAAGAAGATGAGATAACAAGTGTTTGGCAGGATGTGAAGAAAAGGGAACCCTTATGCCCTGTCAGTGGGAATGTAAATTGCTGAAAGCACTGTGGAAAACAGTATGGAAGTTCTTCAGAAAACCAAAAGCAGAACTTTTCATATGACCCAGACTTTAAAGATAAATAATACATAAGTCCATGTAGGTATCTATCTGAAGAAAATTTTAAAACTACCTTGAAAAGATATTTACACCCCCCCATTCGTTTCAGAATTATTTACAATAGCCAAGACATGGAAATAGCCTAAGTGTCCACAAACCACAAAGAAAACATGCTATATGGACACAACAGAATATTATTCAGCCATAATAAGGAATGGGCTTCCCTGGTGGCTCAGCTGGTAAAGAATCTGCCTGCAATGTGGGAGGCCTAGGTTTGATCCCTGGATTGGGAAGATACCCTGGAGAAGGGAACAGCTACCACTCCAGTATTCTGGCCTGGAGAGTTCCATGGACTGTATAGTCCGTGGGGTCGCAGAGAGTCAGACACGACTGAGCAACTTTCATAAGGAGTAAAATCTTGCCATTTGAGACAACCTGGATAAACCTTGAGCACATTATGCTAAGTAGGCTAAGTCATACAAGTACTCTGATGGAATTTTATAAAGCCAAACTTGTAAAAATCGAGTAAAACAGTGGTTATTTGGGAACGGTAAGTGGGAGGAGAGAAGAGATGTTAAGTTTACTACTTACAACAAGTGTAAATAAGACCTAGTGATATAATGCACAGTACAGTGAATATAG